GAAAGATAGAGAGAGAAATATATATATATATATATATATATATATATATTTCTCTCTCTATCTTTCCCTCTCTCTCTCTCTCTATCTCATTCTTCCTCTCGACCCTGGTTGTTGTCCACACTGCGTCTCCTCTCTTAAATTAGCCCAGTCAAGTGTTTCATTGTTTGTCGCTTGAGTGAGGACACGTCACTCAAAGAGAGACGTGACTCTTCAACACGGATGCCTCCACACTCCAGTCTCTTCTCAAGTGTTGGTGAAAGGTTGTGATGTTCTGTCTTATCACTGTCAGATGCTCAGTGTTAGACATACTCTAATCGCAGATTACGGAAGCAAGCTTTCGCGATAGAGCTTACAAGTGCCATATACACCACCCTCGTCATTATGTCTGCAGTACACATCCGTCTACCCCAAAACGTGGAGGCGTTCCTCCTTAGGGCTAGATTTAGTGGACCGGTGTGCAACAGAGCATGGTGGCGGGATGAGAAGGATGGTAGCTGGATCTACCTCCTGGCTGTGGCTGCTGAGAGGCTGATTTACTCCTCGATATCCTCCATTTACAAGCATACTCTGTCTGTGGTGGCGGTAAATCACATCTAGGCTGTACAGAAACCGAGGCAGAACCACAGGGGCAGAATAAGAAAATGAGAAAAGATCAGTACAGGAAGTTGTGAATCCGAGGCAGTTGCTGCATTGAAATCCATTCAAATGGAAAAACAACTGAGGGTTCCTTCAGCTCTCCTGTAGCAAAGGGGGGAGAGGGGTTATGAGAGGTTATTTTAGTAATATGGTATGGTAGTATACCATTTATTGGTTAGAATATGTTAAGTCCCAAAAGTTGACACTGCCACTGTCCTCTGGATAATTCATTATATCTACAGATCTCAGCCAATTTTCACTTCTTTTAACAATAGAGGTGTAAGAACCAAGCAATTAACTTCTTTCCTTGTTTTCCTTTCTGCAATCTTTACACCTTCATTGATTGGGACACAGGGTTAGTGTGTGATAACTGTGAATTATCGAGGCAGATGGCACAAAACAAAGGGGTGCGAATAATGAGGAAAGTAAAACAATGAACAAATCGGAGAGATTAAGGCAAGGTGTGGATTCAAAGTGAAGAAAGCCTACAAAACAGATTGTTCAATCTCTTACTATATATATATTCTCTGTTGTTTTTATCTAGGTATCACAGGGAGCGACTATATCAATTCCAACTACATTGATGGCTACAGGAAGCAGAACGCCTACATCGCCACCCAGGGTCCTTTGCCAGAGACGTTCGGGGACTTCTGGAGGATGGTGTGGGAGCAGAGAGCCGCCACTGTGGTCATGATGACCCGGCTGGAGGAGAAGTCACGGGTAAGTCACTGGCGGAGGTTGGCTGGTCTATTTTTAAATCTCTTCAGCAGTGGCCTCACAAACTTAGAATTGTATATATAAAACCACAAATTGAAATCACTGGCCAAGGATATGAACCAGCTGCAGAGAAGGGCCCAGCTTTACAGGGATTTCCCAGTTTCACACACATTGGATAGGTAAGCATAATATATTTTCTTGAGCTGGATTTCTTTCAGAGAAGTGTAGAAATGTTAAGTGGTGAAAACAGCTGGGAGGCTTTAAAATAGAGTTAATTCAAAGACGGACTACCTGTTCACATCTGATAAGCTAGGCTGCGTTTCCACTGGGAGTATCTTGGCTCTCATTTCTCTCTTTATTTGCAGTGAAAAACAACAAGCTGTTACTTGTTCCCTTCAGTACTCAGAGCTTAGCAAGTTTTGCGCTCTGAGTGCACAAGGCAGGACGCTAAAATTAAATGTAAAGCAACAGAGGGCCTACACTATCTGTGACCATTGCTTTCCACAACCATCTGTTGATAGTGGAAGTTAGAGAAAAGTGCATTGAGAGTACAGCAGCTCAGTCCCAAATGGGAGCAATGAGATGTCATACAAGTTCATTATTTTTAGTTTTTCTGTTCTGTTCATACTTTTATCTCCATGGGGAAGAGTATTTTTGGAAGTTTTACAGATGGTGTTTAGCCTGGTATCCTTGAGCTTGCAAAGACACTTTTCCCAAGATACCATAAGTCCAACCTTTTGAGTTAAATAAAATAAATTGCAGACAATTTACTCTTGCTTACAATAGATCAAAATACAGTTGGGCAACAGCAGCACTTGGAAATCGTTTAGGAAAATTGTCATCTGGCATTGTGAAACAGTAAAAACCAAGGTGGCACTGTTAGGGA